AGGGTGAAGTCTCTCTCAGGGAGGAGTGATAGGGAATGGCAAAGGACACACTGACAAAGGAGATTAATCAGAACTGACTTTGATAAGCACTGTGGCAATTGAACAATTAAAACAGACATTCGGATGGCGGGGGAAGAAGAACAAACTGGGGAGGAGTGTAGAGAGAATGGTGCAACAATAAATGAATGATAACCCCAAATCTCTGTAAATGTTCATTAAAACTAATAAAATTTAATTTAAAAAAAAAAAACACAAAAAGTACTCCAGGGAATTATGGTGTCTTAGTGGCAAGGAATTACACTGGCAACACAAAGGTGTGCAGTTTTAATCAAATAGATACTCCAAGGAAGAAGGATGGGAAGTTTCCTGTTGTGGGATTTACCACTCTATGGTCCAGAACAACTGATCACTTACGAATGCAGGGAGACTCTACCATTGTCTAATAAATTATCTCAGAGTTTATAAGGTCTTTCACAAAAATGTGTCTCATCTCAAAAATGGCACATGCACAAAACACAGAACGAAACCACACATAAAAATTCCCTGCTTATCTTTGTAAACCACTTCTAATCTTTCACCAAGTTCTCTACCTCTTGAACCCTGCTCACAACCTATCTCTCACCTAACATACATCGCATGAGAATACGCCCTCCATTCTTGCTCGTCTCTCGCGAGATTGACACCACTGATTGTATCTCTCCATGAAGAGAATATTGTGAATACCGGTAAGATCATATATCTGAACTTCTTGAAACCTTCCAGGCAATTTTGAACACACTCAGGAGAAATGCAAACTCACTGACTCACTTCAGTAAACCCTGGTACCCCCACTAACTCCCATGACTAGCACTCTGCCCCTTTACCATCAAGCTCTTCAATTCCTCAGGCACACAAAGCTGGTCCCTCTATAGGCCTTTTGTCCCTGCTCTTTTTTTCATCTAAGAAGAACTGTCTCCAGTATTCCTCTTCATTTGTAGTCCCTTTCAGGATCATTTTCATTGACATTCCAATTATGTCACCTGCTAACCAAAAAGTCAGTGGTCAAGTCCATCAGCCTCATTTCAAGAAAACACAGCCAATTCTGCCTCCAAAATAATTTGCCCCCTCAGGAATTCAACGGAGAGACTCTTAGAGTGAAAATCAATTCAGTAATAAGAGGGTAGGCTTCATGGTTTTCTCACTGGATAGGCATTCTAATAGTATAATCTATCAGTCTAATAACCAAAAAAAATTAGTGGTTTGTAGCCACGAGGCACTCCACAGAACAAAAATGGGTAGTATGCTCTTGTAAAAATTTACAGCCTTAGATACCAACGGAGGGTTGCCACGACTCAGAATTGATGTGATGGCAATGGGTTTATATTACTTGGTATCATGCTATGATACGATTTTAACCTGATCTTCTGGTTCACTCATTGCTCTTACTGTTCTATTCCCCAAACCTAACCTAACACCTGATGTGCAATAAATATTTGAGGAAGTAATTCATTAATCGCTTCAATACACTAAGAAAGTGAAAAGACCACATACTTAGCTTGTCTTATGACTTTTCCTGTGGCAAGCACACTAGTATCTCCTCACATATAGAATGGAGGGAGGTGATGTCTGGGATATAGGTCCCTAAAATCGAGGCCATGGTCCCAATTCATGACTGTGGCCAAAGGAAGGCAAGATTCATCTTCGTTCCCTTAGGACACCCACTAAAAAACTGCCTGATCACCTAAAAAAAAGGTTCCCTTATAGTGAGCATATAAAGTTATGTGAAGACCCAAACGGGATCTCTACTTTGTCGCACTTTGACCCACTCAACACGAAACACAGGGTCGATATAATTGGATGATGACTCAACCAGGCCTACTACCTTAGGCCTTAAAAGCCCTTAAGAAATTATTTCCTAAGTCAAATAGTAGCTTAATAAGCTATTACCTGAAACCATATTGCCTTAGAAAGCAGGCTGAATGCAGATATATTTTTGGCAACCAAGGTAAGACAAATTAACATGACAAAAACGTATATAAGGAGCTTAAAAAATCTCTTCTTTGGAGGACCTTCTGAATATATCCAAGGTTCCAAAGTCTGTTTCTAATCCTATGAAGCCACAAAAAATATAGTCTATTTAACTAACTGTTGCGGGTTCACTGTGCATGTAGATTTCTGATAAGTCTTAAGAACACTCCTTGAGTCTCCCAAGCCCCTTCCTAATTTCTTTATAACAACACCTGGAATGCTAAACAGATGGATTTTCTTTTTTTACAAAGCAAAAGAAAACAGGAAGCGTAGCCTCCACTAACCTCACACTGAGAATTGAAAGTAACCTTAAAATTTAATCAAACTTGCATTTACTATTCGGTGAACCTTAAGCAAACAGAATACTAAAAATACCACCTGTTTTCTTTTCCACTCCCTAAGGTACCATAATTGTAAGTTGACACTGCATGTAAAACTGTGACTTACCAGCTTCAATACATTCTGGCGTCAAGCAGTACTCTTGTTTAGCTTGCAGATTCAAGAGACCTTGACTCACTGAAAAAACAAACCAAAATAAATAAATAACTGACTTGCAGCAGACCACCCTCAGGTCAACATATGAAGACACTTGATAACACATCATTCTTCTGAGTAGTGCCCCACTGTTTAAAAATCCAACTGGCCCAATATTACAGAAGCAGATTCAGACCACCAACTATGTGTCCTTGGCTGCTTTGAAACTCCACTTGTAGCTCTCAGAGGGTGGTCACTGCTTCACCTAACAGCCTGTTTAAAGTTATCTTAAAGGTGTAGTAGGTTACCAAGTGAACTCCTCAACTGAAATCTTCAAGGTCTTCCACAGGAGCAGGATAGTCTCCTCTCATAATGTGTTAACTTTTGAGACTATGAGTCATATTTGATTAAATAGAAATGATTTGGGGTTATTTCAGTTTTTTGGTACCTTCAGAGGTAGAATTCTTGCCTTCCTAGGAAGAACCTAGGTTCAATGTGTCACTTGTACTGTCGTTATTTGTGTGATTTTATGAGGCTGGCAGCTAAAGATCTGAAAAGGCCATCCATGGTAGACTCAAATCATTGGCGATTCCAGAATAGGACAAACTAGAAAACAGGGCTGAACATCCAAATTTGTAATGATGGGCCTGATTTTTCCCTCCATTTATCATTAGGTTGCAAGTTATGGGAATTGTAAACAGTCAAGAGTTTCCATTTGCTTGTGCTTTTGGATTTGGAAAAATCCAGAGGAGAATGGGAAAGCTAAGGCAGGTGATATTCATCCTTTAGGATGGTACCTAAACTATCTGTACAGTTATGACCCAAAGAGAGAGGGGATGGAAAAATATATTGTCTATATTACCTGGCAACAGAATCACATGCTTACCAGGGTACTATGAGCCTTGAAGGAATTGTGATAATTCCTAACCCTGACCTGTGCCATAAAATTAGAGTAAAAACCCTATTGGGCTATCCTGGTCTAGAAGTTCACTATAGGTCAAAATCTACTCAATGGCAACCAAAAGACCAAGATTCCAGTTACTCGCAAGGAAACAGAACCCAAACAGCTTTTTTGCCAATGGCTTAGTTGTGAACTCCAAGTAGCACCAACGTGTCGCTTCAATAGCAGACCATCCATCAACAGATGTGAGTTCAGATTGCAAAGATACCTTTGGAAGCTGAAGAAATCATAGGGGACTCATAATTGCTGTTTTCTGTGAGCAGAGTCAAGGGGTCATTTACAGCTGCGGTTGTAGGGAGGGAGGTCTGAGGGAGGCCCTTGAGGAAGGTCTCTTAGAGACTGCTAAATAAGGCAGGTTGTCTGTGTTCTGTCTCCATAATTTTTCAATACGTATGTACAACAGATCATGCAGGGAGGACCTGAAGCACTTGATACAGAAGCTCAAGGATTGCAGACTTCAATACAGATTGAAGCTCAACATGAAGAAAACAAAGATTCGCACCACTGGGCCAATCGGCAGCATTAGCTTGGATGGTGAAGAGACTGAGATACTTAACAGGTTTACTATACTTAGCTCCACAGTCGACACTGTCGGTACCAGCAGCAAAGAAATCAAGAGACAAATTGCATTGAGAAAGTCAGCTGTGAGGGACCTCACAAGAGCAACGATGTCAGGCTGGAGACTAAGGTGTGCTTTACCCAGGACATAGTATTCACAATTTTGTGCTATGCATCAGAGAGACTAGGGATGATAGAAAGAGAATTGGTGTCTTTGAGCAATGGTGCTGGAAAAGAGTGTTGAATATGCCATGGACTGCTCTGAAACAGATTTGCCCTGGAGAGCATGAAACCAGGCTGAACCTGGCAGGCAATGAATCTGAAGCTTCTTCTAATAAACTTTGGGAATGATTTGATTTCTCCATGAAATTAGTCAAAAGAACATCAGAATCCAGTTAAGACATCCACAGATCTGAAGAATGAGAACAGCTCCAGAGCAGCGTTTAAAAAACTGACCAAGTCAAAAGAGACCGACTACCTGTTCTTATTGCTCTGCAAGCATCTTATCCATCTCATCCGGGGTCTTCCTCTCCTACCATATCCCTCCAGCCTCCTGAACATGATTTCCATATACAAGGATTGGTTCCTCCTGGCCAAATGCTCAAAGTACATCACATGGAGCTTTAAGATCCTAGCCTTCAAAGAGGACCTTGGTTTCACCCTCTCCAAGATAGACTGATTTGTTCTCATGGAGGTCCACTGTCTGTTCAAGACTCTTCCCCAGCATCACAACTCAAAGAAATAAATTCTATTTCTTACATCCTTGGTTTTTGTCCAGACATCTGATGCACAGCTAGTGATTGTGAAGACCAGGGCCTAGATCAGGCCTTACTCTATTGATTGACATTGGTGTTTCTCAGTACCCTGGAGAGGTCCCGTAAAGGACCAATGCAATTTGTCGTTGTTTTCCTGATAGCTGGTACCAAGATAATCAAGGAAGCTGTAACTGCTAACAAACTCAATCTCTTCATGCTACCAATTGGTCCAGTGGTGAGAAATGTTGACTTCTTGATTTTGAGCTACAATCTATACTGAAGACTATGGTCCTTTACCTTCTGCAGCAAGCGCTTTAGATCCATCCACCTCAGCAATCAAAGTTGGGTCATATACTTAATGCAAGTTGTTCATAAGTCTTCCTACAATCCTGATGCAACATTCACCTCTGAAAAGCCCTATCTCCTGAATGATCTGTTCTGCATATAGACTGAAAAGGTATGGGGACAGGATGCATCCCTCATGAACATCTTTCTTTCCTTTACTTGTTCCAGTAAACCTGCATTCAACTTAAAACAAGTTTGCTTAAACTAGAGTCCTGGTGATACCACCGTTAAAGTGCTTGTGTACCAACCAAAAAAATCATCTAACCACACCAGGTAGGCTGCTCCTGGGAAGATTTACAACCTTCAAAATCCTAATCTGCACTGTAAGGGGGCTAGGAGCTGTGTGTGGTCACCTGAAGCTGTCCTCCATCTTTCATTTCTACATGAGTCTCAAAAGGATCTTGAACAAATACAGCTTCTAAAACCACAGGACTACAATTTACAAACTTCTGAAAACTCACTGGAAGGTCTGCTATGAATTGGTTTGAATTCCATGAAATGGACGGAAAGAGTCTCCACCCTAATCATGTGCTGCCTCCAGCTGATGGATTTAATGGAGGGTGTTCAAAGAATTATCTCCCTTTAAAAAAAAGATATTTGCTGCCCTACAGACTAGTTCAACAAATCTCACAGGACCTCAGAATGTACTCATAAAAGTGGAGTTGACAAAATATATTAAAAAACAAAAAAGCTGATTAAAAGAGGGTGTATATTTGTATAAACAAACGTTTGGATTTTTTTTGTTTTGAATTGGGGAGTGTTTGTGAAATACAAATAGTCTGACCTGACAGATACTCTGCACACCGCATGTCCTCCCTTGTCCCAATACCATTTCCCATTTTTAATTTCAAGGACGAACACTCTTCGAAACCAAAGTGCTGAATAATCTCAGAAGAGCATCCAAAGACCACTAATTCAGTTACAGAAATAGGTAGCTTCACTCAACAGACACATCTAATTTCGAAATCTTCAGCCACAGAAAACATGGAAAGATGGTTTGCTCCTTTTAGCAGATTTTTCAACCACACAATCTTAATTCTTTTAAAGTTTAATTACTGCCTTTCCTCTGCCAAAATCAATATGGCCTCCTCCATCCTGCAGATGCCAAGGAATGAAGACAGGTTTGCTATATTTTAAAAGGCACCTGAAATCCCACAAATACAGGGATTTTTCCTATGTGACCGAAATATTAGGGATCTAGGGAAAACGTGCAATCAGGGTGCTCCTTAAAAGCAAGAGTAGGAAAATTTGTCTCACATGCTTTGGGCATATTGCTAAGAGCTGACAGTAATCTGAATAAGGCATCATGCATGAAAGTGTAAAGAGTCAGAAAAAGAAAGCAATTCAACAAGATGGACTGACACAGTGGCTGTAACAATGGACTTGAGCGTGTGAGAGGTGATGAGGATAGTGCAGGATGCAGATCGGTGGTATATAAGGTCGCTATGAGTCATAATCAACGCAATGGCACCTAAGAACAACAATGAGAATTCTATGGTGTCTGGTGGTGCAATGGTTAAGCACTCTAATATGCATCAAAAAGTTAGTGATTCAAACCCAGTCGGTGGATCTATAGGAGAAAGCCTAAAAAATCCCTATGGAAAAGCTCCCCTCTGTCATACAGAATCAATCAAAATCTGAGTTGATTCACAGTACATAGTAATTTGAAAAATAAATAAATAAAAAGGTATCAGTTCAAAGAGCCTCAAAATTTAGAACACATCTCAACCCATAAGAAATCCTTTACTTTTTCACAGTACTAACCTTCTGTCATTAAATCTCTTCTCTGAATGCACAACTCGCACTGAACATCATCAGAATAATTTAATTAAAACAATCAAATTTAAAAAAATTTTTTAAAAAATCAAATCATGGGAGGAAACCCTTTGTTTTCCTTTACATTAATTTTTAAAGCTCATGAAAAGCTTCCTTCCACAAGAGTGTCATGGGACAGCCTTTTAAAGGACTGAGTTGTATTTTGCGAATTTCATGAAGTGTTCAGGCAAATATTAATAAAAAATCACACGAAAAAGAAGTCCAACAGGGTTTTTGATCACAGTGCTAAGTAAAATCTTTCCTCACAAAACACACATCTGACTATGAATGTATAAACACTCATTTTTGCGAGATGGAATACGTAAATATTTGCAAAGCCACTCTATAGCCACTTAATACTCTAGTTTGTGCATTTGGCCCTTGAATTTCTTCTTTAAAGAGAAAAGCCTTGGTAGGTTTTGGTTTTTATATGTTCATGAGAAATTCAGGATGCACCAAGTATTGACATAAGCAAATAGTCCTGCACTTTCATTAGAACAATGCTTGCTAAGAGATAACAGAGCCACCATTCCCCGCGCACGCCCAGTTCTCCAGGGGTGACACTTACCTAGAAAGAGGAGCGTGCCCAGCACCAAGGTGCCAGCTACGAACACAACCAGGGCAATTTGAGTGCCTCTGCTGGCTGGCTTCCCAGTCTCCATACTGGTACCTGTGTCTCCTTCCATCAGGAAAGATGTAGACAGCACACTCGAAGAAAGTCCCTTTTCCTGGTTTGGTGACTGGTCTCAAGCGTCTGCAAGAGGGTGGCATCCAAAGCACTCTTGCTCTTCTATGAATAGATGGCTTACAAAAAATGTCCGTGATGCGCTCTCCTCTCACCACCCTTATTCAAATAATTGCTCACAAATTAAATCAAAGAAACCCAGAATATTGGTTACTTTGGCTTTCTCCCTGACTAGACAAAACAAACAGTGCTTCCTTTATCTTGGTGTTCTCCCTCAGCAAAGTCCCTCTGAACCGATGCTTGGCAAGCTCTTCTCTCAAGCCTTCACACTGTACATGTTTCACTATGTTGCTGAACAGATGTTTTAGCTATTTAAATGTATAGTCACTGAGGGATGGGGAGGGGGGGAAAAAACCAAAACACCACCCCAAACAATTGTCTTTAACAAAATTGGACTCTCATCAAACTTCCCCTTACCATGATAAGTGAGGTCGCAAAGAATCCCCTTCCCTGCTTAAAGACCTCAATTAACCTATTTGCAAAAATAATTCAGCCGGCCTGAATTATCTCCATCAAAGATAGTATTTCAGAGTGTGAGTACCCCTTTTAAAGCCTTGTAAGAGTCTCCGGGATATCCTGTAGCATTTATTTTTGGGAACGTTGTGTATGTCAGCATGTGCCAAAAATCAGAGTCCCAGTCAACTGCAGAGCAAAGTAGCAATTAAGACAACCTACAGAGGCTGGTGTTTAGGGCAGGAGCTTTTTTTAAAAGCAAAAAGAGCAGCAGCATTTCCTTCTTCACTGTGAGGCAATGAATTGTACAAAAGACAGTAAAGTGTATAAATTAAGCTTATTAGACACCACAAAAGAAATACAGGACAAAGACGGTTTATCTTGCATGTTTTGATGAAAAGGACCTAGAGGTTCTTTGAACTCAGCTCTTGTCAGACTGCGACTGGTTAGTACATTGCTAGGTCTACCAAAATGACCATCCCTTGACCTCAATTCAAAAACAACTATTTTCACTGGGTAAAGCTGGGTCTTTGACAGTTTCATACGGGCATAACAAATTTTCTTTCCTAGAAGAGTATCATTGATTTCAAATGCAAGCAAGATTCTACTGATGATTATCCAAAAACGAATGGAATTGCACATCAGCAGAGAACTGCCAAAAGTCCAGGCTGGGCTGAGAACGGGCCCTGGTACTACGGATATTGTAGCTGATGTCAAATGGATCGTAGCTGAAAGCAGGGAATACAAGAGGAATGTATAGCTGTGTTTCATTGACTATACAAAGGCTTTAACTCTGTGGATCACAACAAGTTGCGGTTGACTCTGAGAAGAATGGGAATCTCAGAACACTTGATACTTCCTAACAAATGATTGGGTCTTGGCCATAGGATTTGAACATGGTTTATCTTTCTATTATTTAATTTTGTTGTTGCTGTCGTTTAGAAAATACCGCAAAACAACTATGAGATATCATCTTACTCTACTACAATGAAAGAATTTTAATTAGTAATTTTAATTTACAGAGACTTTATTTCCATTCATTCACTGTTGCACTATTCTCCCTGCCCACCTCTCCGCAAAGTTGTATCCCTCAACTGTTTCAAACGCAGTATACATAATTTGTCCAGTCTTTCTCAGCCTCCCCCAATACCAATGTCAGTCTTATTTTTCAACAGTAATACTATGCAGTATTTGTCCTTTTGTGACTAAGATCCTTTAGTCAGTATAGTATCTTCCACTCACCTATTTCGTATAATATTGCATAAGTTCTTTCGTTTTCAATGCTGCATAATATTCCATTGTGTGAATATACTATAGCTTCTCTATTGATTTGTTTGCTGATGGGAACTTGGGTTGTTTTCCAGATCTTTGCTATATGAACAAAGGCGCAATAAACATGGTTGTATTTCTGCTTGGGTAGCAGCTATGGTTTCTTTAGGATATTTTCCCAGGAGTGGAAATGCTGGATCAAATGATATTTTTTTTCTATAATTATATTTTATTAATTTTCATAAACATTTACAGAGATTTGGGGTTTCCATTCATTCATTGTTGCACTATTCTCTCTACCCTCCTCCCAGTTTGTTCTTGTCCAAATGCCACAGCGCTTGTCAAAGCCAGTTCTGATTAATCTTCTTTGTCAGTGTGTCCTTTGCCATTCCCTATCACTCCTCCCTGAGAGAGACTTCACCCTGAGTCATAAGGGAAAGGGGATGGCGTATTCTCTTAGCTACTTCCTGCTGAAAAGGGATGCTGTGGGTTTCAGGGTGAAGATCTTCTCTCACTACTTTAAAGGGCCCCTTTGGCAGTAGGAAACACATAGACTATTATGGAGATTGATTTTGGAATTTAGATGCACTGTTGTTAATTGTGCTTAGCCGTACATGTTCATATCCTTGAAGATGTATCATGGGGGTGTTGCAACCTAGAAGACACAAATTTAACTAACAATTTATAAGTGCATGAGTCAAAAACTATGAAAAAGTAAAAGAAAAGATTCTTTCATTGTTTTACAAACCCTCCCCCAGGTCCCCTCCACCATGTAGCCATCGCTATATACAACAGACAGACACTGATTGCATCTTCATGTTCCTCCCACTACCCTTAATTCACTGTGGCCCGAGTTTACTATTGAATCTTTAGAGATTCCAAATGGTTTCACTGGATGCTTTTTGGAGAGTAGTCTCTATTACTTTCTTTCTTTGGCCTGAAACAGATCTGATCTGATCTGATTGTTCTGGGGACACATTCTACTGCACATGTCAGTCTCTTGAGGTACCTAGACCCAGAAGCTGGTAGGGCTCAAGCCTAGTTAACTTCTCTATAGCCAGGCCTCAATTTGATCCTAGTGAGAGCTTGGTCTACTTTTGTACAGTCCTTCTGTGTAGGCTTATACTGGTTACTGGCCCCAATTGTAAGGAACGTTCTTTTCAAGATGCTGATGTGTAATTGATGTCGAAGGCTCTTTGTACTCGAGGATAGTCAATAAGAAGTTTATGCCTTCCTCACTTTCTGCAAGCACAAATGTGCCGTATGCATAATGCAGAAGACTGAATTCAGGGTGTTGGCCTGAAGGGAAGGCTTGCTACCTTTGTTGGCTGTAGAGGAAGATCCTTATGTCTATTGTGAGCTTCTGATCTGGAGAACTCCTTATGTGACTTGTCACTGTTTTCCTCCATCTCTGCTTTCTTCCTTTTGCGCCACAGGGAATAGCTGTGGCAACAGTGAAGAGTGTGGAATAACCCATTGAGGGTCAAAAGAACAAGCACATTTGTCTTACAGAAAGGGCAGTCAGGGCGAACAGTGTCTGCTGTACCTTTCTGACTAAATCAAGCCTGGAAACAGGCGCGGTATCCACTTCCAAAATGGCTTGCCTCCAGAAACTCTATGTATGAACAGTGTTTAGGCATTTCGCTCATAGGGTCACTACGACTCGACACCACCTCACAACAAGAACAATAAATAATCATTACCTTATTCTGTTAGATCTTAGCCATACAAAAGTCAGTAGTAGATCAAAAGAGTTTGTTTCCCCATCAACATTATCAGGAAGCTATGGTGGCCTACTGTTAAAGAACTGTGCTGCCCATAAAAAAGGTATGTAGTGAGAATCCACCAGTTGCTGCATGAGACAAGGATGGTCAATCCCTGCCCATGCAATTTATTGCCCGTAAAAACCCAATGGAGCATCACCTATGGATTATGGGAAGAAATCAGGAAGATAAGGAGCTGAACAGAAGATTTGAAAGGGCAACATGGGAAGATAAAGCAAAGTATCATACTGAAATGTGCAGAGCTGGAATCTGGAAACAAAAAGTGACGCATTTGGCTCAGCACTTCTCAAACTGAAGCAAATGATGAACAAATTAAATAACTCAAGCTGCAATACTAAAGGATGCTATTGGCAGAATATTGATGACCCCAGAAACATTAAAAGAGGATGGAAGGAGTACACAGAGACATGGCACCAGAAAGAATTGGAAAACACAGAATTTCATAAAATATAAAGAAAATGGTGATGAAGGAGTAAGTACAAACTGCTCTAAATGAATTGGAAAACACAAGGCCCCAGGATACCATCTGTAGTATTTCAACAAGGTTTTGCCACGAAATCTTGAGGACAACAAGGTGGTCAGCTCTATTTACTTCCATTTCAAAAAAAGGCGCTAAGACAGCATATAGAAATTATTGAACAGTGTGATGAGCAGACCGGCCGGATTCTACAAAGCTGTTTTCTGGTTTAGGGTGTAGCAGATCGGACATGGCCTTTTTTAAAAAAAGGCTTTTCAACCCTATTGGGAACCCTAACCCTGGATTTCCAAATAAAACCGTTTTTGAAAGAGAATTGGCATACACTTCCAAAAAATGCTTGCCTCCAGAAACTCTTTGATCTTGGAGAAAAAAAAATGTGTGTACCACTTTCAATCAACTATTGGTTGTCTATGCCTCTATGGCACTTAACAACATCATCACTATTATTAGACACAAGTAAAATTACGAAAAAGATTATCCCAAAACAAGTGGAACAATACATTAACTGTAACTCATAGAGACGCTAAGTACAACAGCTCAAGGAAGATTGATCAACCACCGGCTTTAAGCAGATGGCACAACCCTGCTTACTTCAACTAAGGAAGACCTGAGGTGTTTGCTGCAAAAGACTATAATCTTCAGTATGAATTGAAGGTCACCCTCAAGAACAAAGATTAGCACCATTGGTCCTATGTTCAGCACCATGATATATGGCATCAGCATTTATAAAATTAAAAGACGAATTACGATAATCTGCTGTCAAGGACCTTTCCAGAGTTCTGAAGGGCAATATTATCATTCTATAGACTAGGGTGCGCTTGATCCAGACCATGGTATTCAGACTTACTTGCTATGCTTTAGAGAGCTGGACAATGACCAAGGATGACATGCATTTGAATTATGGTCCTGGAAAACAGTATTGACCATGTATTGTCAAGAGAACAAACAGGTCTGTCC